ACGTGGCGCGGCCCCCTGGAGCGGCAGGGGCCCTGCCAGCCACTGGTGTCGGTTCTGTCCCGGCCCCTCTGCTCCCTCGAGAGTGGGTGAGGAGCCCCATTTCCCAGGTGGGGAGTGGAGCCCTGAAAGCTGGGCTCAGCCCTGTGTCCCTAGGAAGGGCGCCCTGGGCCCTCCGCAGCACTGCTGCACCCCCTTCCTCTCGGTCTTCCCAAGCTGCAGTGGGGGACACAGAGGGACACAGAGGGACACAGAGGCAGGTGACCAGAGTGCCGACCTCCGGTCACATCCTGTCCCCATGGGCAACACCCTCTCTCCCCACAACTGGCTCCGGAAGCCGTTCCTGGCCCAGTGACCAGAGCCAGGTCCAAGATGGAAGGGTGGCCACCCCCACCCCTCCAACTCAGTGGCTCCGTCAATTTTCCGGCTCAAGCCTAACCACAAAGGGCTCCTTGGGGGCGGTGGGGGCGAGGAAGTGATGACCCAGCACACCATGAGCGGGGAGAGAAGCACAGCCCTGCTTCCGAGGGTGTGCTAGCCCCCGGGGCGCCTCCAGGTCCCCTAGATCAGGCCTCACAGCCCTCCAGCGCTGGGGCACCAGCTGTGTGCTGGGCTGGGCCTGGAGGCCGATGTTCCAGGAGCGAGGCCCACATGGCTCGTTTTCTGGGAGCCGACTCCCCGCCAGCACACTCCCCTGCCTTCCTTTCCCTGAGCGCACGGAGCACTGGGCCTCCGTCGGCCCCTCCTCGCTGGTCTTCCTGCATCTGCACCCCTCACCCCAGCAGAGTGAGACCTGGGGACTCCTGGTTCTTGTTTTGTTTTTAAGAATTATTTATTTTATTTACTATTATTTAAAAAATATTTGACCAGAGAGAGAGAAAGGGAAAGTGCAAGCCACCAGGTCCAGCACGTGAACCACAGTCATCCATGTGGGAGTCCAGTACCTTAACCACCACGCCACTTACCAAATCCCCCTTTTTTAAAGTTTACTTTATTCATTTTTCCCCATGAACAAAAGAGACAGAGACAGAGAAACAGTGCACTCTCCCAGTAGGGACTTGACACTGCAGCCCCATCAGGGCCGCACACGAGCTGGGCGTGCCCAGGGACGGAGACCTGTGGATGTGAACCCAGGACCTTTCCACGTGGTCACCCGCCCCTTCTGAGATCACGGGACCTCAGAAGGACCCTCCTCACCCCTGGTAAGTCCATCCTTCACTGTCGGAGCCATCTCCCCTGGGCAGCCCTCCGAGACAGAACCCACGGACAGCCAGTTCTCCGAAAACCAGGGAGCAGCCCAGGGACAGAGCCGGATGGGAGACCGAGGCCCTGGAGGCCTGGCGGGAGGGCCACCCTTATCCCCCAGCCCAGCCCAGCTGTCCCTGCAGCTGCTGCCTTCAGTGGGATGATGGGGGTGCGGGGCTGGCACATGCTCTCCCCGGACCCCAAAGCCAGCGCGAGGCTGCCTGGAGGAGGTGCTGGTCTCGGCAGCCACAAGCCAGGCTTCTCCTTGTTTTCCTGCTGTGAGAACTGCATCTACAGTGGGTCCAGGCCAGGAGGGGGGACTGAGCACATTAGCAGGGAGGGGGCCACATCCACCACACTTTCTTGCTGCCCCCTCAGCCCAGGACTCCCTAAAGCAGCACCCCTGCATGGGGAGAGGCGCCCTGGAGTCTCAGGACCCCCCAGTGCTGAATTCTCTGTAGCTGGGTGCCCTGAACTGACGCAGGCTCCCAGCACTTCCTCCCTCTGACCGGGCTCTACGCTGCAGCCCCTGCCCCACACTGAGACCGGGCAGTGGGGAAGGAAGCTCGGGGTCCTCACGCAGACCAGGCTGGGAGCACTGCAGCCCTCCCGAGCAACCCCTGCCCCACGAGGGGAAGAGGTGCCTGCAGTCAGGGGAGGGGCAGGACCAGCCCCTGCCCCCACCCTACACAGTTCCCAGGACCAGAACCTCTATCTGCTTTGGATGGGGGTCACGTCCTAGCCCTACCCACCCCCAGTTTCTCTACCCCACCTGTCTCCAGATCTCTAGGTCTGATCACCTGACCTCAGTCCTGGCTCTAGAATCCCACGAAGCTCCCTGGAGCAGAGGGTTTCAGTCTAGACGCTGCTGAGAGCTGGGTGCTGGCCTCCCCCTCCCTGCCTGTCCCTGGGCTGGTCTAGATGTCACTGGGTACCAGCGCGTCTCTGATGCGGTGGCCCACAGTCCTCAGGGCTGGCCCGAGGGGAACTTGCCGCCCTCTCGCCTTCCTCTTTGCCCTGGGGTCCGAGAGCTGGGACAGGAATGGGTCGGGAGCCTTCCAGAGAGTCCTTTCCCACGAGGGCCGAGCTCTGACCCCATCCTTATCTGGGCTGCATGTGCCAAGAACAACAAAACAGCCCAGATGTGCTAGCCCTCGAGCCCCGAGCCCAGGACGCTGGCCTCTCCAGCCCAGCTGCTCAGCTCAGCCTCTGCTTCCCCACTGTGCACTGCGCAGAGGGCGACAGGCCTCAGGCCTGAGGGGGGGCAGTGGGGAGGTCTCAGGTACCTGAGCACACTGTCCTCACACGCGTGCACACTCTGACCGCCCAGGCCTGCGAGCGCCCCCTGACCTCTGTCGCCCTGCCTCGCTCCCCTCCCTGTGCTCCCAGTTCCCGACTTCGCTCTGTACCTGTGAGCTCAGAGGGTTGGTATGTGGCGTGCTGGGGGAGCGTGTGCATGTATGTGGAGGTGTGTGAAAGCACGTGTATGCATGTGTGCATGGGTGTGTGCACACACATGGAAAGGCGTCTATTAACATGTCTGAGGACCAGCGGTTGGTGTAATGGTGTGATGGCTGGATTCCCACGTGGTCAGCCACGGTTTGAGTCCTGGACCTGGTGGGCACGTGTGCGCGCGTGCCCAGGATCCCGAGAGGAGAGCGGAGGAAAAGGGATTGCGGCGTGGCCATCCCCCTGGGGATAATTTCTCACTTTCTGTCTCTCTCTGTCTCTCCAGTGAATGCAAGCGCCCTATTGCAGAAATCTCTTTAAAAAAAAGAAAAGTAGCTTGCAAGTGGGCAGCTGTGTAGGGAGATGTGTGTCCACTCTTGGCCCAAGCACTGTGGGACAGGGTCCCGAGGGAGTGCCCGCACACGGGCACGCATCCCTATGACTCCATTGGTCCCAGCACCAGTGGCCAGGGACCAGTCAGGTGTACGTATGAAGGCAGTCGGGAGTGCTGGGGCCAGCGGGCATCGCCAGACAGACACAGAGGGGGCAGGATCCTGTGTGTGTGTGTGTGTGTGTGTGTGTGAGAGAGAGAGAGAGAACGAGCCACAACCATGCCGGGTGTGTGGGTGGACATATAAATACCCACACAGGCAGGTACCGGAATCGACCCTCACTATTCCTGGCTGGGGGCTTGGGCCATTTTTAACGCAGCGTCCACACCCCGGGTGACAGAGGGCTTTTGTATGGCCACCGGAGGCAAGGCCACAGCTGGGGTGGGGCAGCGTGGGGGCAGCCCTGGATCTGCTGGGGCCATCACGGCTCAGGAGGCCTGCAAGGGGACAGGAGGCCTCCGTGTCACACTCGGTCCTGTCCCAGCACTGCCCCGTTGCTCACCACAGCCCTGCTGAGGGCTGCCCACGCCATTGCAGCCTGGTGCCCACCGCCGGCCCACGTGGGGCCGTGAAGGGGAGCGGTGAGAGAGGGCTGGCCTCGCCCCCGCTTGGAACCAGGTCAGGGTCGGCAGGACGTGTGTGCACGCGTGTCTGGGGCCCCAAGAGTAGGCTCCACCCTTCCCCGGGGCTACATCTAGCTTGACCCACCTCAAGCACCCTCTGTCCCTGAGCCTGCTCTGCATCCGCCCAGCTCACTCTGTGCTCCCGGGCCTGTCCTCCTGTCTCTGCCACGGTCAAGGGTCCTGTCTCCAGTTTCCCCGGGTCTGCCCAGGGGAGCCGGTTCCTCCTCCCAGCCAGGGTGAACTGTTTGCTTGAGACGGTCGGTCCATCCAGCCAAACAACCGCTCAATTCAGCCTGCTCGTCTGACTGACGGGTTTTTTTTCCCTGCTAAATTTACTTGCATTTTTGACTGAATTGGCCATTCAACAGAGGCTGGGTCCACGTACCCCTACCCCACCCAGGCCGACAGAGGAACAGACTCACGGCCAGCCACGCACACAGAGCCGGGAGCACCCCATGTGCTCCTCCACACTCGTGTGTGCAGCCAGGGCCCACGTGACACACATGAGCGCACCAGGTGACATGTTCCCATGCCGTCACACAGCCCCATCCCTGTGCACACGGTGACACGCAGAGACTGCACACACCTAGCACTCGCATGTTCACCCACAGTGTGGCAGTGTCTGAACACCCCGGGGCTGCTCTGTGGAAGCCTTGGGGAAGTAGAGGCAAGGGGCGGGAGGGCGAGGCCTGCTCTCTGGAGCTGGGCAAGGCCCCCCAGTCGCCACATGCTGGGGCCCTGTCCTCCCTTGTCCCTCAGCCTGCCCAGGTGGGGTTTCTGGTCATGTCAGGCCTCTGCTGAGTCCCCACAGACCTCAACAGACACTCCCAGACCCCGATCCTAAAAGGGGAGTCTTTTTTTTTTCTTCCAAGGACAATAAATATTTGCTCTTCGGGAGCCCGCTGGTGGGAGGGCACTGGGTTTGGCCTCGTGGCAGGGAATGTCCAGAGCTGTCCGGGGAGGCCACGGGCCATGCTGGGGGAAGGGCTGGGGACCAGCAGGCAGAGCTGTGGAGCCGGGGTGCAGGGCCACCCTGGCCCCAGCCCTGGTCTCTGTCTTCTTGGCTCCCTTGACCAGCATGTTGGTACCCCCAACCCCAGACCCCTCTACCCCCGAACTCACCCCTCGAGAGCCCCTTTTATGCTCCCACCCCCTCTCATGCACTTTGACCACACGCCCCAGTCTGCATTCAGGCTCTTTTGACTAAATGGAATGAGGAGCTCGTATTCCCAGACTAGCCACCTAGGGCAGGGAGGACACCCCACCAGGCCCTTGAGAGCCCCTGAAGCCTGGCCAGTGCTGTCCCCATACTGTCCCCCATGAGGCCCTGGTCCCTGGAGGCGCCTGTCTTCCCACCCCTCCCTCACGCTGAACTGGGCTCCCAAATATAGCGGCCGTGGCCACAGCCGGCCAGGACAACAACACCCCGAGCG